TATATATATATATATATATATATATATATATATATATATGTATTCACTACTGTGTGATGCATTGCAAGGATTTATACTGATCAACCAGGTCTATGCTCAAATGATCAACCAGTTGTCTATTATTTTACTCTGCCTAACACCAGATTATTTTACTAACACTAGACTTATTACTCATCAGGGGGAGAGTGCTACCACTCAATGGGTTAAAAAAAACATTCAAACAAAATGTTTGGCAGAAGATGCAAAATTGTTTATTGGTGTCTGGTGTGATACTGATATTTCTTTTATCTGTAAGGATAGACCTGGGGAGCTTCTAGTGGTACAGTCTTGTTTTCCTGTACTGCATGTGTTTTCCTCACTTCCCTGATTCTATCATAAGTATTGTATCCCATGGACACCATCTTATCAGTTCTGCAGTTTTTTGACAATCTACCGTAAACCTCCGACTATAAGCCCTGGGCTTATATTCTTTCGTAAACAATTTTTGATGGGCTTACACAAGGGGGCTTATACATGGACAATCTTTTGTGTTAGTAATAAACAAGTCAGTCATAAACAGGAAAATAAACATGTATTAATAACACACTTTGATTAACATTGTAAGCTATAAAGACAATGAGGGGGGCTTATAATCAGGGTGGGGCTTATATTTGGAATGAGGTGAGCGTTAGTACATGTGGTGGGCTTATACATGGGGGGGGGGGCTTATACACAGGGGCTTATATTCGGAGGTTCACAGTATGTATGGTTTTCAGTGTAGTGTTCCCTTGCTCATCACAAATTAATAAAAAGATCACACACTACATAATTGATGTTGATAAAATTGATTTATTTTAAATCAAAAAATATTAACATAATATTACTGTACTTAAAGAAAATTAAAATGTTTTTAAGGTGATGCTTTTGCTCTAGAGATATTACATAATTGGTAAGCCTCTTCAATCATAATCATTTGCATGATTGTCTGCAACAGATATAAATTCAATGAATGCTTTATCTTCTTCAAAATATGTCCATTTATGAAGTTTTACTGGGAATTTCTTTGCAGGAGTCGGTTTAATCTGTCTGATAGGAAACTACAAAACAAACAGCAAAAGTGAGAGGGGCAATGTCAGTGCCAGGCTGCCTACCAGCACAATTAGACAACAACAAAGAAACTCATGGATTTTTACCAGGATTGTGGGCATGCTTCTCCAGGAAATTTGTGTACTATAGGTTTTCTGGAATGCCACTCCCAGCATTGAAAAATGATATTGGCGTACGGGTGGATAGAAATTGCCCGACATTGTCATGAGTTTATTGATAGATGAACAAGAGGTATAAAATAGAAGGAACACATCTCCTATACAGACTTGCAGAAATACTAAACACTGACAGTGACTGGAGGAGTTGCAACGCCCAGCCTCATATGCCTATGGACAGAAATTCTCCCAGGCAAAAAAGCATTAAAATACAATGTTACTGTTACTATGATAATAACTTTTAGCATAATATTTAACATATTGTCTTATTAAAAATATACAATTATGTTTTTGTGTAGTCGTACTGTATTTTATGAATTATGTTTGTGAAAACCTTTGTACTTTTACACCTTGGCATTGGTGATGTTCCAGGACTCTGAAACAAAGTTCGGCTTGATGTTGAATTCTTCGAACGAGAAATTCTGTGTCTCTTATTATTAGGTTTCCCTGGGGTATCACCTTCACTGAAGTATATACCCGTTTTATAGCAGTATCATAACTGTCATTTCCAGTTTACTCTCGAGTTTACTCCAAAATAGCCGAATTCTATAATAAAATGAAAAAAATACAGTCAGTGCAGGTACAGTAAACATATAAAGCATATCTAACCTTAGAAATTACATTAAACTTAAAATATGTAGGAACATATATGCATATGTTTCAAAATTATCATGGAAAATAGTGATTTAGTACAATAGTTTCCTTCGCGCCATGATGATTATCAGGAGGTCTATTCCCGCCATCGGCGATAGAATATAGCGAAAGTACCCCATTTTCAAACCGCGATTACTTGTCGGTTTAGTGGAGCAAACTCATGTTTTAAAGTAACAGTAGAAAGAAAAAATCTTCCCGAGTTCGATGACGTGTTTTGTTTTTATTTTCCTCAAAAAAAAGTGAGTTTGCTTCTGCATTATATCAAGGTGATTTTATTGGCGTGTCCACTGACCCGAATCAAGCATAATTACAATACGTAATTAGCATAAGTAAAAAGCAATTCCTGTACCAAACAAGTCAAAAATAGTTTAATTAGGGTCTTAAATAATGCAAATATAAAAACATACCTTCGAAAAAACGAGATAAACGGAGCCAAAATCGCAATGTATTTCAACAACTTTTCTCCAAACGTTCGTTGAAAATCGTAATTGTGAATAATAATGAGACGCAATGCATTGTGGGAAGACCCTCATTCCTCCTCTGGTACGGTATTAACTGTAAGACAATACTAATTATAGATACATAGCGCGCACGCACTGTCAAGAATAGCATGTTAAACAATAAATTTCTCCGCTGCTATTCTATAGGATTTTTTAAAACTTTCATATCTTGTATAAAATTATCTCCTCTTTCCACTGGTTATTTAACATTGGGCGGTATCAATCTATAAACAATCGAAATTCGGCCTTATACTGTACGGTATTAACTGTAAGACAATACTAATTATAGATATAATATTATAGCGCGCACTCTCAAGAATAGCATTTTAAACTATAAATTTCTCCGCTGCTATTCTATAGGATTTTTCAAAACTTTCATATCTTGTATAAAATTATCTCCTCTTTCCACTGGTTATTTAACCTTGGGCGGCATCAATCTATAAACAATCGAAATTCGGCCTTATACTGTACTAATATGTAAGACAATACTAATTATAGATACATAGCGCGCACGCACTGTCAAGAATAGCATGTTAAACAATAAATTTCTCCGCTGCTATTCTATAGGATTTTTTAAAACTTTCATATCTTGTATAAACTTATCTCCTCTTTCCACTGGTTATTTAACATTGGGCGGCATCAATCTATAAACAATCGAAATTCGGCCTTATACTGTACGGTATTAACTGTAAGACAATACTAATTATAGATATAATATTATAGCGCGCACTGTCAAGAATAGCATTTTAAACAATAAATTTCTCCGCTGCTATTCTATAGGATTTTTTAAAACTTTCATATCTTGTACAGAATTATCTCCTCTTTCCACTGGTTATTGAACCTTGGGCGGTATAAATCTATAAACAATCGAAATTCGGCCTCAATCTGTACGGTATTAACTGTAAGACAACACTAATTATACATACATAGCGCGCAGGCACTGTCAAGAATAGCATTTTAAACTATAAATTTCTCCGCTGCTATTCTATAGGATTTTTTAAAACTTTCATATCTCGTACAGAATTATCTCCTCTTTCCACTGGTTATTGAAACTTGGGCAGCATCAATCTATAAACAATCGAAATTCGGCCTTATACTGTACTAATATGTAAGACAACACTAATTATACATACATAGCGCGCACGCACTGTCAAGAATAGCATTTTAAACTAAAAATTTCTCCGCTGCAATTCTATAGCATTTTTTAAAACTTTCATATCTTGTACAGAATTATGTCCTCTTTCTACTGGTTATTGAAACTTGGCCGGCATCGGTCTATAAACAATCGTATTTCGGCCTCATTCTGTACCCAGTATCTCCGAATACCGAAACTGGAGCAGTATCCAAACGATGTGTTAGGCCTACCGCAACTCGGTACAAGCAACATCGGGGAAAGAATGTGATATTATACTGCAGTGCATCTACATTTGCAGTGAAAACTTTTTCCTGGACTTTTAACGGCATAACAGTATCCAACGAACAGAAATTCGCGTTTGAGTTAACAGAGGATCAAGTTGGCACTTATTGTTGTCGCGTGCTGTATCAAGACGGTAAAAGTTGCACGTCAAGTTGCAATGTGGAATGCCAAACACCCACAGAGCTTGTTGACAACAAGACAATTCTGAGCCTCGTAAAAAAGGCGATCCAAGAGAATTTTGATAGAAAGTAACATTTTTACTGGACGTTTTTTCATTGGCTATGTATACTGAATAGACATGTGCCTGAAGAGTAAATGTAAGATAAGCACATTGTTGGCTTTCTTATTTTCAAATGATGCGCGACCAGCAGCAATGGATTCGGCAATATTAACGAACGCAGCCATATATGCAAGATTTGCGCAATCAGGGCGACAATGCAATGATTACACGAAAGCCTTTTTTAACTTGATGAGCATTTTTTTATAATTGTTAGTATATGAATAATATCAATATTACGTTTGAAATCTCTGTCTTTTAACTGTCTTTTGAATTCGTATGGTAAAAAAGGTTTTCGTGATTTCATTTGGCGCCGTTGCAGCAATGAGGCGCGTGCCGAGTAGTACTAGACTGGATTACACAAAATATTTAATTTCGTTGTCAAAATTTTAATAAACAAATCTTTAAGGATACGTTAAAAGGATACTACAAAAATATAAAAAGGAAATTCTATGTTTCAAACTGTTATAAACTGATATTCGCAATCCTCTATAGCAGTAATTTCGATTGTTATATAAGGCATGATGTGTAACCCAGTCAATATTGGTTGCGCGGTCGCAGCACAGGAAATTCCAAAATAAATATCAATTCATTTACCTCATTAGCAGATTTTTTGTATACACTCAAACTATCCATTTGACGATGCTTGTCGTGTGAAAAAAGTTTGAAGTGAATGCAATTATGTTAATGGGGTAATTGCAAGTAATTGCGTTTTCGGCCAGGGGAGGATGCACAACGACTACCGGAATGGGAAGGAGACAAAAATTTCTGCCCACAGCAATAATTCTGAAAAATCATAGCAAGACATTTGAACATCATCAAAGCATAATCCGCTTATAAACAACAACAAATTTTGTGTGAACAAAAATAAGAGTCGGGTTGCAGCCTCCCCCCAACCCCCACACACACATACACACACACACACTCACACAACCCACGTGTGACCTCGCATGCTGTAATGGTGATTTTTTGGAATGCTACATGCAGTGATTGTTAGTTATTAATATACCAAACGAATGTGTATTAGGAATTATAGTATAATTTTCAATTTCCACTCACTAAGCAATATATACTTGAGATGTTCGCGTAACTGTGCGAAAATGAAAATGTTTTCGTACGATAGCACTCTATATACTAGACGCATGTCGCCTTGATGACAAACTATAAACTAGTACATATATGAACATTGTTCCAGTTGTTCTTGTTCACTTTCTGGCATAAAAAAAAGTTAACCGACATACGGTCAAACCAGATGCAATATAAGACATGGTATCTTATGAAAACAGTTTAATGTAATCATCAGTTCCTGATAGAAAATTCGTGATATTGAATACCTCCATAGGGATGTAAGAGTTTTTACAATAGTAAATATTCATTGGACAAGTTATCCGTCCTAAAAGAAGAAATCCAAGAGACCGTCGGCGAAACAGAAGCGTTGAATGTTGAATTTCTGTGTATACATGCAGGTGGCCGGACATTTTGCCGAAAGACACTTTGCCGAAAGACATTTTGCCGAAAGACATTTTGCCGAACGGACATTTTGCCGACGGACGTTTTGCCGAACGGACGTTTTGCCGAACGGACATTTTGCCGAATGGACATTTTGCCGAACGGACAGTTTGACGAACGGACATTTTGCCGAAAATAGAGATATCCTCTGAACTTTAAAGGTTCGCTTACACGGTCAAAGTTTCTGTGATTAAAGTCATTAATTGTCGATTTTGATGACAGAAACTTTGATAGTGAAGTATAGTTTCGTTTTATATTCTTTCAAGTTTTTGACAAGTTTACCGAAAATTCGCGATATAAAGAATAACATCATTCAACATCATTCATGAATGTGATTTCCCCGAGAACTGTGAATGTATTCCATGATTCTCGAAGTGAAATACGCTTACGTCGTCTTTATATACGCTTGTTTGTTTACGATCTGACGTCAAAACACGTTCCAAACAAATGAGTCATCCGCTGCACCAACAATCTACCAATAGTCAATATGATTATGCACTGCTAACAACCATTATGCACGACTAATGACCATTATGCACTGCTAATGACCATTATGCACTGCTAATGACCATATAATGGTTATTTTACACGATGGTTGAGAATTACACAGTTGAGAAATGAGTCACAGTCCCAAACATTTTGACGAAATAACATCTTTATTTTCGGCAAGTTGTCCTTTCGGCAAATTGTCCTTTCGGGAAACTGTCCGTTCGGCAAAATGTCCGTTCGGCAAAATGTCCGTTCGGCAAAATGACCGTCGGCAAAATGTCCGTTCGGCAAAATGTCTTTCGGCAAAATGTCTTTCGGCAAAGTGTCTTTCGGCAAAATGTCCGGGTACCACGTGCAAGGTGAATTATTGCTTGTATAAACTTCCAATTCAAATTCAGCTATACAGATAGTA